CTTGTCCCTGTCTACAATTGGCTGAAGTAAATCCATAGATTTACTGTAGATTAACATGGCTGTCCTTCTACAGTGTCTACAATGAGAGGCACCAGGTTCATCTGGAAGCAGTAGAAAACTATAAAAACTACCAAGGAACTGACACTGTTACAAATAGGCATTATTTTTATGACCAAACGAAAAAAAAACCCGAGTCAGTTTGTTCTGGTGGTTAAGTCACTAGGCTAAAAACCAGAAGAGTATGAGTTCTAGACTTGCCTTATGCAGAAAGCCAGCTGGATGACCTTGGGCAAGTCCCTCTCTCGCAACTGTACTCGTCTTACAGGATTGTGAGGAAAATGAGAGGAAGAAGGAATACTGGATATGTTCGGCACCTTGAGTTATAAAAAAATAATAATAAAAACAGGATAAAAACAGCTTGGCATAATTCCTGAAGAACCCTTTGTAGTGTACATCTCTGTCCTTTCTTTTTTCTTTTTCACATTGTACCACTTTGCAGTTCATCATTTCACGTACTGAATTATTGCAATCAAATGGTCAGAGAGTCAAAGCATATTTGCCGCAAAGAAAGGCTAATGTGCTGAGGAATTTGTGATTAGGAAAAAAAAAATAAAGACAAAGATGGAAAGTATAGAGATTCATAAAAGGATTCATGCTGTAGAGAAAAGAGACTGGTGATAAAAATGTCTTCTTTCATTGTACTTCAGTTCAGGGTCATCCAATTAAATTGGGAGAATATTAAAGATCAACTAAAGAAAAGACTCCTCTGAACAGCACAGAATTAATTCATTAATTCAGACATGTAAATGTAATGAAGTCAAATTTAGTTTTTACCTGTTTGGCTCCACCTATTTCTTTCTCTTTCTCCCACTGTATTATTTGAAAAGTAGTTGCTTTGTATATTCATCTGTAGTCCTCAGCCTGAAAAAGTTATTCATTCCTGACCTATATGCAAATATCAGGTTAGACACTTTGAGTAAATGATTAAAAATTGCTAGGAAGAAACAGTAGGCAGGAATATTGTATCAAGATCTACTTTTGGACTTCCCACAAACACATAAGTGGTCAGAATAGGAATAATGATGCTACAGTAGCCTTGGGCCAATTCAGAAGGTTTCTAATACAGGTAGTCCTTGACTTACAACAGTTCATTTAGTGACTGTTCAAAGTTACAACAGCACTAAAAAGATGACTTAAGACTGTTTTTCATACTTATGACCATTGCAGCATCCCCATAGTCAAATTTGGATGCTTAGCAACTGACTCATGCTTATGATGGTTGCAGTGTCCTGGAGATCATGTGATCCCCTTTTGCGACTTTCTGACAAGCAAAGTCAATGAGGAAGGCAGATTCACTTAACAACTGTGTTACTCACTAAACAATTACAGCGATTCATTTAACAACAGTGGCAAGATAGGTCATAAATTTGGGAAAATTCACTTAACAAATGTTTCACTTAGCAACAGAAATTTTTGGCTCAATTGTGGTCGTAAGTCAAAAACTACTTGAAATCCTATAAATTAACTTGGAAAATGTTACTTGAATATAAAACCAATAAACGTGTCATCCTTCAGACATTGTCAATTTAAAATTCTATCCCCACTGACTGTTTGCCTTATTAAAAAAGGAAGATAGACATTACAGTACAAAAAAATTGGAAGGTCATAGGTCTCCCAGTTCTATTATAACATTTGTTTCTAAATCATATCATTTGGGAAAAATAATCTCAGATAATTAAGACGGAATTATTTTTTCCTCAAAATTGTTTGGCAGATGCATGTAGTTCTTTTCAGAAGATTCAGCCTCTTCCAAAAATTATTTTTATTTTTGGTTGTACAGAGCTGAATCAAAGCAACTGAGGGAGAAATTAATCAATATAGTTCTTCCTAAGGATATCCAAAAATACAGACATAATTACAAGACACAAAAGAAGAAAAAAATTCCTGAACTTGATCGTTATTTCACTGAGTATTAAAAGATGTGTATTATGTCTTTTTCCTCAGTATTATTGGAAGTCCTTTTTGTATAAAATTTCCCATCCTCTATCAGTGAAGCTTATATAATGGTGATTGATTTTTGAAGACAGTAAGGATAAAGATCCTACAACTGCTGACCAATATTTTTGTAAAGTATTGATACAAAAATATTGACAGTAATTCTGGCACAAAGATTACAGATATTTAATTATCCATCCTACACAATCTTTAGAAAGGGTAAACAAATGACTGATTTTTTTTAAAAAATGTACCTTTTTGAGCATAGCATACAAAATGAGAACCATTGAAAAATTTAAATCCTAACATATCCAATTTTATATCATACAGAATAATAGTCTGATTCTTTTAGTGGTTATTTGAAATTCCACATTACTATTGGTCTTATAGAGAAGATTTCCAGTATTAACCTATCTGGTTATTTCCCCCATATCTGACAACTGAATATCTAATTATATGCATTCTTTTCTTTTTTTAATGTACATCAAATCCAGTCCTGTAATGTAACATATTCTGCTAGTCTAGCTGGAATGTTATTGAATGTTTGAAATCATAACACATAGTATATAATATTTGATTTTATAGTTTTATTTATATTTATAATAAACATTATATTTTATTTGTATTCATTAATTTATAATGTATTTTATATAAAAATATGTAAATTTATATTCACCAATACAGCTACAGACTATAATATTTGAAAGTGGTAATTCTCCTTTTATATTGCTTAAATAAGTCACAAGACAATGTACCAAAATAAGAAAATGAAATATATAGCAATCATAAAAAGCCCTCCACCCACTATAAAATCCATAAGCTAACAAAATCTATAACCAAAATAAAATTTAACCATAATAACAGTTTAAACAACAGTCTAATACATTCACTAATACCCACGAACCTATGAAAACAGGATTATTCTAAGAGTCTATAAAATACCTGCAGGATAGTAGCCAAATGAACCTCAGAGAATAAATTTTGCTCCAGTGTTGGGGCCTCTACTAAGAAGGTTTGCCTCTGAGGCCTATTTAAATATCCTATCTTGAAATGATAACACATAATTGACTACTAAACCCCAGACAGGAGAGATGAACCTGCAAGTAAAATGGGAGTCAAATCCACTTAGGGCTTTATGCAACAAATACTCATACAATGTTATGTGTTCCATCAGTCAGGAACTATACCTGACAGACCAAAAGGGGTGGACCTTCTCTGCTGTGGCACCCTCCTTTTGGAACATTCGCTCCCACAAAGTGAGGTTGTCTCCATCCCTATCTATTTTCCAGAAGTTCCTCAACACCCTGGTTATGTCATCTGGTGGGGGGTGGGGGTGGGGTGTCTTAGAGGAATGGTGAAATCTTGAGGTGGCTCCCTTGTTTATCTAATCTCTTGTGTGTTTTATGCTTTATTAATTTTTTAATTTGACTGTTTTTGACATTTTTATTATTTTTTATATTTTTGCTGTATGCCATTCAGGATCACTTCTTGTGAAATGGAAGACCATAAATTAGATAGATACCATAGATAGATAGATAGATAGATAGATAGATAGATAGATAGATAGATAGATAGATAGATAGATGATTGATAGATAGATAGATAGATAGATAGATAGATAGATAGATAGATAGATAGATAGATAGATAGATAGATAGATAGAAGAAATATATCACCAGATTTGAAATATAACCTTTCAAGATGGGGTGTAAATATGGCTGGGGGTGCTATATCTGACTTGACTCATTATACTGAAGTAATGTTTCATAATGACTAAGGTACCCTATCTGATAGTCCGGTGACCATGCTTTTGGGGAATGACACTAGTTGTCTAACACAGCTGGAAGAAGTGAGGCTAGATGTGGCTGCCTTATGCTTTTTATTAGGTTGCCATCTTCAGAGGGCTAGTTTTGAATGGTTCCCCAGTTAATAGAACCCAGATATGATGGGATTATTGAATTCTACCAGCCTCATCTCTTTGCTGTCTCAAAATTAAAGAGCCAGGACTGAAAAACTAAGAGCACCAGTTTAATTCTAGTAGTAATCATAGACCTGGTGAAATCTGAGATCAGGAAGTGTTATTTGGCCATTTCTCAAAACTACAAGGTGCATTGTTATTTTCAGTTCTTTATTTACATCTTATTAACTATGGTGTAGTTGTTTGCTCTTTGATTGACTCCCTTTCTTCTGTTGCACTGCTGTAAAACCTCACTGCATCCTCTTCTGTGGAGATCACAACACATAATCTAATTAAAAGACTCAGTGGGGACGTGGTCTTCCTAGTCCTCTTGTCCTCCAAGCGGTGGTGGATAAAGATAACAGCTGGACAAAATGATTGTTGTTTCTCCAGGGCTGCTCCAAATGAAAAGCTAATTGTCAGTCAGCGATGGGCTCCGGTGCGGTTACGCGTTGGATAAGAAGAATTGAGTGGCTGAGAGATTCATTCACCGATTCATTCATTCACTGAAAGAGTGGGAGGGAGGTAGATCTTAAAGGGAGAGTAGTAGAAAGTAGTGCTGAACCCTCCTGTAAGTGTAAAAGAAACGTAAAAGAAAAGAAGGAGTGGGGAAAATCAGTTAGCCAAGCCACTTTGAGGAAAAGGAGTTAAAGGGCGCGACTGACAATTCTGCGCAGGAAAGGGTTAACCACATCCTCCTGGTAAAGTTTAAATGTAAATAGGGAGCAGCTGCTACTGCTCTTCTCCGGCTGAGGCTGGCCCACTGGAGCTTTTGATTGGCCTTCAATGACATCACTCGCTCCGCAGGTTATAACACAGAAAGCCCGAAGCGACTGCGACCAAACCAACCCTTAAGAGATGAGAGGGCAGCCAACGGCTCCGCCCACTTACTCATTCGCTCCCAATCATTGGCATCTCCGCGAGAGGCGGAAAAAATAGCCTCCAGGGGAGAACGCCTATTGGGTGAAGGCCCCGTCGATCCCTTCTATCGCCTCGGCCCCTTTCGAACCTTACATTTACTGGGTAGCAAAAGAGAAAGTAAGTATGTTGCAGCTGGAGATCAATGAAGCTAAGTGAATGGTGTACATAAATCGATCGCCGCAGCCGCGCGCCAGGTGCTGAAGGATACCCATTCATTTATGCAGTAAGTAGATGACTTTCTTTCAGACGGGAGAGGAGCTGTGTCCGTGTGTTTATGTAGACAACAGAGGAGCTTCGAAAAGAGTTTTTTTTTTTTTCCTTTTCTTTAAAGAGAGAGAGAGAGAGTTTGGGTCGATAAAAATGAGACCGCTGCCTCTCTTCCTAACCCCCCACCTGCCCCTTGTCGTCGTTTGTGGGTTTTTCTCTAGCGGATGTTCACCAAATGAGTCGGATGAAAGCGAGCGGTTCTCGTTTGGGATTACTGCAGTATATGGCGGGGGGGGGGGGATCGGGGTGCATAAGAGGCATCCAGCTTCAGCATCCTTCGTATATACACTGGGTGGGGTGGGGGACGTCTTCTCTTTCCTGGGACCTGTGGAACTATTAGATGAGCCCGAGGACAAGGAGTAGTTGTTATTGTGGGCTGCGCTTTGCTTCAATCGCAACACTGACTTCGCAGTTTGGCTGGAAAGAAAAACTGCCTCTGCTGCAGAGACGCAGGTCTTCCCGAATAGCTTTGCATAGGGGGGGGGGGAGAGAGAGAAAGGATTATCTTTGGCTCCCCAATATGTTCTTAAGATGTTTTTAAACCCTCTCGCATT